TATATATAAGATAGCCGAGTCGGTGTACAGTTAGTGTTGGGTTCGGCACAGGTTAACTGTTTGTACTTGTGTGTAGTCTGGAGTGCCTGCGTGGTACGGTAATAAAGATGCACGCTCACTCCACAATCCAAGACTGGTTACCCTTCAGCAGGACTGGCTAACGTTTATGAATTTTACTATAAATAATATAGTTGAAATCAACATTTTCGAACTGCCTGGATTTTCAGACTTAGTTCTAAGACTAATACTATCTAGAATACCCATGGTGTAAAACTTAGGCGGGTAATGCCGTATGAAACATACTGCCTGAACTTGATATCAACCATTCCAAGCAGATCTATCCATATATCTAAAATATAGGTTATCCCATCATTAGACCTAAATTGTTGAAAATTCGTCTATTTCTTTTAGCAACTACATTATATCAAAGGTGAATAAAAACAAGGAATTGTTTTATTCACTCTTGATCAAATAGTGGATGAATTTGTGGGATGTGGGGGTTCTTTTTTATATCCTGTAAAGGAACATGCATGCAGCATACATACATTTCCTGTTGTAAACATCCTGTTGCTGATCTGTTATGTGAAATCCCCATAAAATAAATGTACCACATGTGTGAATGTGAGCATACAATATGGACAGTGCAGAAGCTATCCCCACTACCCGTATTTTCTATCTAGATCTATCTATATATATATATATTATATATATATACATCTGAAATTCTGAATATCCATAGTTATCTTGGGGAAGCTGGAGTAACATACGTAGCACCCTAAAAACTATTCTGCTTAAGCCTTAACTAGTGGTATGTTTATTTATAACTTTCTGCTTTTTGCACACTCAAAATGCAGTTTTCATGGTACGCACACACTCACGAATGCATGTATGATGTATGCACAGATTCAGGAACGCAATCGCATACATGTACACGCATATCGATGAAAAGCAAGCCCTAAGTTACACAACAAATGTTTTACTGATTTTTTACTTGTTTTTCTCATTAAAAATGATGTTCCCTGTAATTTGCTGTAACAAACCATGGTAAACCCTTCTTAAATAATAAATTGAACTACAAATGAATGTTAGAAATAAAAATGAAAATGTAAAAATTAGTATGCTGTTTGGAACCTGAAAACTTGGAGCCCGTTGTCAGAAACAAAATTGGTCTCAACATTAGTCTTAACATTAACTTTTTCTCTTAGACCGTTGACAGAAACGCTGCGAAGTTACGAGAATGAAAAATCGTAGCAGATTTCCTCATAACAATACGAAACAAAGTGATGTCGACGGTCTAGGAGATATTGCTAATGTTAAGACTAATGTTAAGACTAATTTTGTTTCTGACAACGGGCTCCAGAATCATAAATCTTGAGCTGAGTTGCACCCTAATTATCAACTTTGATAATTACAGATGACAATTGTGCAAATGACCATAAGGTTCAATCTTACTTTAGGACCCCCAGATTTTAATGATCAACTTAAAAGTCAGTTAGGGTCAGGAGTAACCTTGAGTTTGTGATAAGGTCAGCTGGTCAGGGATAGAATATTGGTGACAACTTATGTGTCATCATTTCAAATTATGATTCGGCATAATTATAACTACATTTAGCAGGGTGCGAAATTAATGCGAGTCCGGAGTCAAATACTCCCTGATTTACTGCCGGACTCCCTGATTTGACATATATGCAGGAGTCCGTGTAACTCCCTGAAAATTCTGCTATATATACTAACTATAGTTCGTTCCAAAGCACAGCCTCCTGGAATTACTGTATTTTTACAGCAAATGTCCAAAGAAAATTTGGCAGACGTGCATCGCACGAATATTCAAAATAAGCACATTATGCGTTATTTATGCATTATGCGTAATGCACAACATGCGTTATTGAATGTTGTTATGCTTTAGTTTTGAACTTCAGACTGCGGACTCCCTCATTTTGCTGCGGACTCCCTCTTTTTGAGGGTAGGGTGTCCGTTGGACTCCCTTGTTCAAAAGTTAATTTCTACCCCTGTTTAGGGTTCCTTCCAGGAATTTCAGAAGGCATGTCCTTTATGAACGAATTTAGGGCCCGGGAGGGGCTGTACCAATTGGAATCAATTACATGTGTCATAACTCATAAGTAGCCCAATACATGGGTAAACTTAATTAGTTAACTTAAAATTCAGATGCGTTTACATCAAGATCTGAAAACACAACATGACTGTGCTGAGAATGTCGAAAGTAAACACAGTTGCAAATTAAGGTATGCCGATTTGGTAATTAAGGCATGTAGACGGATTCAGGGGATTCCAGTACATGTATATCATCTATTTGAATTATATGCAATAAAGGTTTAATAATAAAATATTAGTTTACAGGAAGTTAGAAACTAGCTTTAGCTACGACGGAACTGGATTGCCCTGGGAGACCCTGGGAGATCGTGCCATTTATCAATCAAGACCCGACGGACGATTCATTACTAAGTAATACTAATTACATAAAATTTCATTTTAACCTACCAACTGCTGGTGCATCATAGGAATCTCCTAGCAAAATTTCTGGAGCAGAGTAAGCCAGTGAACCACAGGCTGTGTCCAACTTCTGTCCAGGATGAAACTTGTTACTAAACCCAAAATCAGTCAATTTGACAATTCCTGCCTTTTTGAAGAACACAACATTTTCTGGCTTTAGATCACGATGAACAACGTGAAGTTTATGACAAAATTGAATTGCTTGGACAATTTGTCTGAAGTACAGTTTTGCATTCTCCTTATCGAGTCCTTTTTCGTGTTTCATGATGTAATCGTACATGTCGCCACCATCACCAAGCTCCAGAATTAGATACAGTTTTGTTTGCGTATCAATTACTTCGTACAGTCTCACAACATGCGGGTGTTGTACTAATTTCATACACCGAACTTCCTGAAATAAGTGAGATCTAGAAACATCATCCAATTTCGTTTTGTCTATAACTTTCACTGCTACTTTTTCACCAGTAAACACATGCCTAGCCAATTTCACAACAGCGAAATGACCTCGACCAAGTGTGTCTAAAAGATCGTAGAGTCCTGCAATCTGGCCACGTCCCTCAACCAGGGACCCTCTTCTTGGTACCGACATGTTAAATTTCCCAAATCACAATCACAAAATGTCTAAAAATGAAAGAACTACACTAGTAATAGTATATCACTGCAAAGGATCCATTTGTGCGTCTTTCAATCGCACCCATAATGCGCATGTGCATTATTACAAAGATGCATTGTGGGATTGTGCCTGCATTACCAGGCGTCGTTAACCGATAATCCAACTAACTGGGCGCGCGCGTTTGCGTGTGAGTGTACTTTCGGGTGTGAACCACTGATCTCTACTAACGTACGTACTAACGTTAGTATAGTAGAGATCAGTGGTGTGAACGTGGATGGGCGGGTGTACACAATCCGTTTGTACATGGCTATGGTGCGAGCGTGCTTGCGTGCCTGACCGCCTCCTTGCTAGCTCCAAGAAACGGTATTGCTAGGGTTACAATAGATACAATAATGTAACCCAAACCCAAGAGGATAGGGACCCCTGGGTCAATACCAGGTTACAATAAGGTTACAATTATGGTTACAATACTAGGGTTGTATAGACAATCCGTCGCACAGCCTGGTCGGGCTTGCCTGCTTTGGGTGTGTGCATCTGTACTAAGTTTATATGTTATTGGTAGAAGTATTTGACGTTGTGTGCGCATAGTGAAGTCTCTTATCTCGCACCAGGGCTATAATACTAGAGCTACCCCCGATAGTGCATAATCGAGAGCTTACATGTTCGCTATCATTGATTTATAGAACTAATGACCATATCGTGGAAACTAGTATATAGCAGCATATCTATATCTGAGCGTAACCATAAACATCCCAGAAACACGTGTATATATATATCATTGAGTTGTATATGATAGCATTATTATATTAATAAATTAATTAATTATATATACTATTTTATATATCGTTTTTGTTATATTATGATATTGGGTTTGTTATTACATAGCGCTCAATGGTATATAATGGACCATCACATGATACCTACGGAATTTTACTGCATGGTAGCGACACCTGGTGTATAGTAATTCTGCAAATCATCGTGATTCGTCTGAAAGTATTTATTATTGGTTCCCTGAGTGCATATGGTCACATGATGTGATTAGATGAGCAATGACACAATAACACATGGGCGCAACCACTGGGGGGTCGGGGGGGGGTCACGCCCCCGACTTTTTTGTGGACCTCCCCAACTTCTGTAAGATCTTATTTTCTGGGGAGGTCCAAAATAGTCCGATAAGCGTTTATTATCG